GGAAGAACACTGCACTTCACAGAGGCCAAAGTAGCTCTTTGTTTAACTTGACAAAAATAAAAAGGGGGTATATTCATTGATACTTAGTTGCAAACAAAGATGTCGGAGGAAAGAAGGGGGAGTGAAGAACTTATACATGGGGAATGGTGAAATATAAAAATCAATAATCATAGTACTTACCAATTTATTACACTTTGTGACATACCACAAAAACAAAAACGCAGTGGACTTTTTCCATGATATTCCATTTCTTTAAAGTATGTAATCTGAATCTCTGATATTTTATGCTTTGAGTAATAAGGATAAAAGGATGTGGTTGAATACATACATAGAAATCTAGTAGTAACTAGTAAACATTCACACCGCGTCATTTGGGACAGAAAAAAATTGCAATTGAGACCAACTAGATCAAGAAATCAATAGAAACTTTTGCAAGGGGGAAAGGTTTAAGGGCATTCAAGTCAATACATCAATACGCACAAGCTGCCATAACTATTGAAGACACCACAGATTCCCCACCAACTTCCCTTGCATTACAAAGTCTAACAAGTGTAGCAATTACTGATGTAAAACTAAAACTCAACTACAAACCATTTTAAAAGGTATATTGGAGGATTTTCCCAAATTTTAGGAAAGAACCGCCCTCTCCACTTTTCGAACAAAACTCTCTGATCTCATTTGACGAGCACTTAGCACCAGAATGATTGACAATTGGGAGGACCAATAGCCTTGATGATCCACCCGGAAATAGAAAATCTTACTATATATCTTTAAAGACAACTAAATATCCCACAACAGCACAATATTGACAGTAATTTTCAAATTCACAGCTTCAGCGAGAAAACGAAACAACAATTTGTGCCATATCGCTCCACATTTTTTATATATAAATATTTTTTTATAGCTTATTCTACTGGAGTCTATGGTCTAAATCTCATCACATTCAAATACTCGTTTTGCAATTTTTCCCCACAAACCGCCTAGACTACATCAATTGCACAACATGTGAGTGATATGACCTTTTCCCTTTGCACAGAAGGGAGGCAAAAGGCTGTAGTATTTATTTATCTTTTCCTTCTTCCGCAAGACTCAAAGTTCGGCCTGGAATAGATAGTGAAGAGTTATCCAATAATCACATGTGCGCTGGAGTGAGAGCGGCTGTTGTTGTCATGTTCTATCAGATCCACCTCCGCTGCTGCTGCAAGAGTAATAGACTTTGTACCAGACATGAAACATTTATGACACTTGAAAGGCAATATTTGTATCCAGTTGGAAAGATTGAAAGCTAAACTGTACGAGCGTCACCAGGAAAAAAAAGCATCAGACGAGAATTTGCTGATAATTTATCCATTACTGTATCGCTTTCATATGACAGAAATGGGCGAAAAGCCGTAATTTGTGGAATTGTTTATGTTGTGTGCCCGAGGGAAATTTAAAAAGGCATTACTCCAAGACGCCGTCGAAATGCTATTTTCCAGCCTTAATGTGCAAGTAAAGCAAATACTGTAAAAAGAGCCTTTTCCAAGACAAGAATGCTAAATTAAATTAGAAAAACTCATTTGGCGGTGAGCAAAAAAGCCGTCTTTGTTTTCGTACGACATGTTAACGCCGGCTGTCGCTAACCCTTCAGAATAAAGATGAAGATCGTATTGAGATTTGTAAGCACATATCAAATTTGAATGTGTCTTTTAAAAAACTGCATGTTTATACCTTGCTGGACGTTACCATGGCAACGTCTCTCTAAAAAGATATTATGAATCCCCTTATCCTGCTTAAATACAATAAAATGAGCCTGCAGACCTATAATTGTATCTTGTGTGTACTAAATTGTACAACTCATCGGCCCATGGACTGGCCTATAGGCTTCTAATGTATTTCAATATGCAGCCTCCCCATTGAAAATAGTTTGGACTGATTTGTTTGGCGAGCGTCACGACTCAAAGCTAAACAATAAACAACTGCGTATGATTACCCGCCTTGCGCAACTCTTGTAATCAGAAAGTTTACTTAAGCGATGGCGTATGGGAAAGGCTGCTGCAACGCCGATCTGCTTAATCAAGAGCTTAGGACTGGCACGCCACATACAAACTGAAAACAAAATTGCGTAATGAAATCTTGCGGGGGGAAAGTACCTTACTGTATAACTTTTTTTTTCTTCACATTTACAGAGCCACAGTCTGCTCCTCCACTGACGCTGAAATTAAACCGCTGCAGACAATGAATTATTAACGTTTAGTGCATACATTGACCCTTTTACGCAGCGTGCGAGTCGACAGGCCTCTTGAAATATGACAGATATGGAAAAGGAAGCCGTGTTTTTATAGTGAATACTTAAGATTGTACGCTCTTTCTCCATGTTGATCTACTCCCATGTGTTTCACTGTTGGGGTGACCAGACTTGGGCCTGTCTAGATTTGATGGTGGATCTTATTTGATTGACGAAAAGCAAAATAAATTAGGCTTGTTACCAGAAAGATTGTTATAACGATAAGCACAAGTCTCCATTCTGTTATCAGATGCATCCAAATGTACTGCTATAAAACAAAAACCATGCCATTTATATCATCTACTCAGTTCAGCTATACTTTATTTTCTGTGTAGAGAAATCTGGGTCCTCTGCATTTGACCCATCCATCCAATGCTTCTGGTGCAACCTGTCAAAGCAGTGGTTGCCGTAGTAAAGCTTTAGCGGACCTATCTCTAGATGTTGATGCTTGGCCAGGTCCAGACCAGAGCTGGAGGATTTTACCTATTGTACATGCTTTTGGTGCTAAGCTATTAGCTGTCGTGCTAATTCCAGCATATTTATGTTGATGCTGTTTGCCGCCACATTGATTAATATGTACTGTCCAAAATTAAAATAAATAAATAAATAAACAAAACAAGTAAGATGAACCAAACTAGAGAACCCAAAGGGGCTCTATGCATGGGGACATGGGGAGAACATGCAAACTCCACTCAAAAAAAAGCCCTGTTCCAACCGGGAATGGAACCCAGGACCTTGTTGCTACCCGTGCAGCGACTTAAAACCACCATAAACAACTCTACTACAATGACTCTCAACCCTCATCACCAAAGTACAAGCACAAAAACTCTTTTCTGTCTCTAAATATGAATAACTATCGGAATGCCTTCAGGAAACAAAGAGAGGCCCACTGTTTTTTTCCCCAAGTGTGCAGTATTGTTGAACCAAATTGATGATAATAAGCCTTCCAGCCCTGCATTCCAAAGAATATCACAATACCCTCCCTTCTATATTACAAAAACACAAAGCAGACATTGCAGTTGCATCACAAATTATATGATAAACAAAACAATCAAATGTTCTCATAGTGAACCCCGAAATATAATCCTAATGATCATTCTTGACTCTTTAACTTGAAAATGATGGCCAATTTGGACGTGGCACCAAAAGATGTCGCAGCTTTTTGAAACCATGAATGCATTTTAGGTTTAATCATTAAGAACCTTCTGCTTTCCAACATAACACAACATATTGAAATCATGGGGGAAAGCCAATTTAGGCTGAGATGAAGGTCTAATAATGATTGATGTGCAGATCTAGTAGTTTTTAATGTACGAACATGGATTGGACACACTGGTACATGGTTTAAATGACTCATGGTGTAAAAGAAAATTGTGATTAGAAAGCCCTAGTGCATTTTAAATCAGAAACACATATGACATGTTAGTGCCATATGAATCATCAGGGACTGGCCTCCTGCTGGTGCCCAGAGTCAGGACTACCCATGAGGACGTCAATCGCTGTTTCAGATTCATCCAGCAAAAATGTTGAACAGAAAGATGTGTTTTTAATGTGTTTTTAGGGTCACCCATATGTTGCCCTTGTAAAGCACTTTGAGTTGCGCTGTACGAACTGTGTTTTATGAATACAGTTGATTGATGGTTATGGGTGACCTTAATCTTTTGTATCATATGGACTTGTAGCGATAATGAAATATAGCAGACCCAGTTTCAAAAAACACATATGGGATAAAGAAATTGATCATTTGGATGTATTTGCAAGGACATGGAATACAACACTAAAACCTTACAAAGCTGGAGTAACTATTTTACAAGGCTGTTAGTCAATAAAAAATGTATGGGAAAACTGCTTATTTGCTCCATGCCTTCTTATTTCATGTATTTACTTTTATATTGACTCCAGATAAATCTCTCAAGAATCACATTTCCCTTGATTCCAGACCTATAACGCTTCTAGTCATTTCCACAAATACATACACATGCAATTAAATCCATCTAACTAGTTCCTTGCTCTCAAAACAGTATGCATCTCAGCCTCGCTCTGACACATCCTGAGCTTCTTCAGACAGAAAACTGAAAAGCCCGAAATGTCAAATAGTGACTCACAGGGCTATTTCTCAGCTTTTTACAGAGATGCAAAAGACGAAGACAGCAGATTGTGTTATTCTGTGTTCACGCAAAAAAAGCTTAGTTCTTTTGGGCCAGACAAACTGTCATTTAGGACCTCGCATCTAAGTACATCTGTGACATGTTAGTGCCATATGAACCAGCTCGGACTTTGAGGAGCACAGGGACTGCCTTCCTACTGGGGCCCAGAGCCAGAACTAAAGATGAGGAGGCAACATTTCAGATTCATACATCTACGATCTGGATAAGATAGAGAAATGTACATGTCACATTTGGCATAGTATCACTCAGGGCGTGCAAAAGACAGGAATAGTGCAAACAACAGTCTTCCTGAAAATGTGAGACAGGCTTCTTCCCTGACAATGTTCAAATCCAGGTTAAAAACAGTTCTGTTTAGCTGTGCATACAACTGAAAAATGTACTTACTGTATTGTGATTATTTATGATTTTATTGCCCTGTGTGATTGTTTCCATCTTGTCTTGTTAGGCATTTTAAGTTGCCTTGTGTATGCACTGTGCAATACAAATACACTTGCCTTGCCAGGTACCCCAGCTTTCATTTAACCCTCTTTGGAATAGTCTTGTGCTCCCATCCATCCATCCATCACTCACCTTGGACTCTTGCCTTTACTCTCCTTCTTGTTGAGCACGCCGGGCACACAGTTGGTCAACTCAGTCCAGTCTGCGTGCAAGCCACAACTCCAACCGGTGGAAAAACGCGAAAACAACCAGGTCTCTTTCCGATTGGGCCGATAACAAGTACACTTCTTCTGCCCGGGTCTGCAATCGCACGGCACCTCCAAGCGCACGTTCTGGACCAGGTGCCTCCCGAACGTGGTCCCCCCTGTTTTCTGGATGTGGAGAAACACGATCACGTCCTCGCCCTTCATCTGGAAATCGATAGTGCGTTCCAGATCGCGCACGGGGAAGTAGTATTTCTTCACGTAATGTGGATCCGGCGTGGGGAATAGGTCGATCTCTTCCTCGGCAGTGTCCGCGAATAGGTAGCCGTGCGGGGAGCCGAGGCTGATCACGCCGGGAGCTACGTACTGGTACAGGATCAGCATGAAACACACCGATCCGACTACGACCAGTAGGAATTTGCTGCTCCTCTCGACCATGGTCCCTGCTTGCACCGGTACCGCGCTACCATTTCCCGACGTAAACCAGTGGCGTGATGGGCTCAGTCATTCTCGCACAGTTTGGGAAGAGTGATACTCGTCTTCCACCACCGTATCGCGAGGAGCCGGTCACAAGAACGACAGAATACGTCCGGTGTCGTATAGAAGTTGGCTCATGGCGAGTGAGATCACGCACGGTGTAGTAGAAAAGCAAAACAAACAACAAAAATCCCGAGGTGTTCAGACGTAACTTGTGCTCGGTCCGCGCGCTGGCTCGCTACTGCACCAGCGGAGTGTGTGTATGTATGTGTATGTGTGTGTGTGTTTGGGTTCCCGAGATGCAGCGCGACTCGTTGCTATTCAACCAGCTCTGTCCCCTGTCTCTCTCTCTCTCTCTCTCTCCCCCCTTTATCTCTCTCTCTCTCAGGCAGTGAAAGCAAAAGTCGCCTTAATTTTCTGGTTGTGGAGAGAGGATTGCCGCATTCTTTCTGGAGTCGCCTCGACCAATCGCAGAGCAGTATAGAGAACAAGCCCCGTTCTGATTGGTTTGCTGTAGCTTTAACTGCTTCGCTTTAAAGTTATATAGGAAGATTTTCTACTTCCAGGTGGATCAACAAGACTATTGGTCCTACCATTTGTCAATCAATCTGGTGATACGTGCTCATCAAATAAGACCAGACAGTTTTGTTCCAAAAGTTGAGAGCGCGGTTCTTTCCTAAAATTTGGGAAAATCCTCCTATATGCCTTAAATGTTTTTAGATGAGGAATGTCCAAACTTTTTTTTCAGTAAGAGAGCGCAGGCAAACAGTTAGATTTGTCTGGTTGCAAAACCTCACTGTTGGGGTCCTTGCCTTTTTTGCTTTTTACAGTTTTTATTATTACTTTTTAGCTTAAGTTTCCTTTTTATGGCCATAAAAAATTGTCATAAACTTTGTAACCTGTAACAGATGTTAAGTTTATTTCAGCAGATGTCTAAATCCAAATGTATGGAGCCATACCAGCAGCTGTACTTTAAATGTCCGACCCACCCACAGCTCCCTGCCTCACATCCATGAGACCAACCCACTCCAGCTGTCTGCTGCTATGCACGTTTCTGCCGCTAGTGGTCGTGGTTGTCGCCAGAGTGAAATGTGACAAATGAAATGTGACTGTCAGCCTGATGTAGGAGCTCCCCAGGGGACTCGCCTACATGTTTGAACTGTTTACGTTTAATCATCGTGAACGTAAAAGGACCTCGTTTTACAACATCTCACATTTGACACATTCTTGATATATATTTGCCGGCTAATTGGGTTTGTTTGGGCTGCATTTAACAAAGAATGCCCTGTGACCAGTAGTTTATATCACATTACTCATTATTTTTTTCAAGTGAGTAAACTGAGCAAGAGCCCAAAGCATTCTATTCTCCTTAATTATGTTATTCTTTCGCCTGGAACGTTTGAGAAAATGCTTGGCAAGATCTGTGGAAACAAACAAATACATGCTATATGCTCATGTTTATCTGGAGTGGAACATTCCTGACAAGAACAAAAACCATGAGAAGCGTACACCAAGAAAACTGCATTTAAAAGCATTTCAAGTTACCGTGTTCATCCCTCAAACTTCCCACCAGATATCATATATAACACAATACATATTTCAGATGCCTGATCCATGCACTCCTCTCAATGCAGCAGCTCTAGTCCAAGCTCCTCCCATGTGACCGAGCTTCGCACCCTATCTATCTCCATGCCCTCCGTCTTGTTCTTTTAGTTATTCTCCAATGCTCCTGACCATGAGGAGTGGAGAGACTACTGACATCACCCATATTCAATTCAATTCAACATCACAACACGACTCTTCTGCATTGGCAAGGAAAAAATATATGATTTGTCTTTACTCAGAAGGAGCAAATTAGAGTGAACTAAAACGGTCTCTGTGAGTGGGAATTTGGAGCAATCATCCCAGCATGCTGTTCGCTAGCCAAAGATGAATTTGTGGATAGAAGGCACCTGATTGGTCAGTTATCAGGGATCATATATGGATTTACATAATTATACATATTTATGGAAGACAATATCAAAAAGCTCTTCCAGTATGAGTTGCTGTAGAAGATAATGTGCGTGGAATGTAAGGTAGGAGTTTTTGTTGTTGTTGTGGCTATTTGCACAAGATAAGTGACTTTATAATAACTATATACTAAAACACTATACTAAGGATATGAGCAATGTGTGTGTGTGTGTGTGTGTTTGAAGATATGTATGCGGTTTTGAAGTGATTTTTGTTGTTGATCCTTCTCTATTTTCCCCCCGTTTTTCTTTGTTGTTTGTTTGTTTTGTTATTTTGCATATTGTTGTTTTATTGTTTAATTTTATAATAAAACATTGGGGAAAAAAAGACAATATCAAAGTAAAAACACATGGATTGCGTCAAATGTCTAAACACACATTTTCAGTTTACGGTTCAGAGAAACTGAACGGGAGCCAAAATGGTATAGGAGTAAGTAAGCTAGTAAGCTTTTTATTTATATACCGCCTTTTCACTGCACATCGGAGTCTCAAAGCAGTTTACAATTGTTATTTTTGGGAGTGAGCGTGCCAGTACAGGAGGCACATGCCAGACCTATTGTACATATTTTTAGTGGTAGGGGAAACCGGAGCACCCGGAGGAAACCTACACAGACACGGGGAGAACATGCAAACTCCACTCAGAAAGGCCCTGGTCCGGCCGGGATTCGAACCCAGGACCTTCTTGCTGAGAGGCGAGAGTGCTATCCACTCAGCCACCGTGCCTTATAGGAACATAAGCACTTCCCTATTAGGCTTCATCAAGAGAATGGGTTGCACTGTCCATCCCTGTATAACGGCTATTATGGAACACAGATTTCGCAGTAAATCAAAAGCCTTTCGACCGCAACAGTTCAACACAAGGCAAGGAACCCATCTCCAGTCGGGAACCAAGGCATCAATACCTTCCTGTGGTTCTATCTCCCACTCTGCCTCTTCCACACCCTTCAATCATCACAGTTAGCCCCCTGCAGTGACTGACTTCATAAAGCGTGTTTGTTTGTGTGTGCCATATACTGCTAATATGTGCGTTCCCCCTTGCGTCGTGATGGGAGGGGGAAACGTACTTAACCAAGACAGATGTTGACAGAGTTGTGGTGCCCTCTGGCTCACTTCTGCACATCATTTTATCATCAGAGCTGCTTTATAGTGGCTGCCGTTTGCATAATGACGCAGTGTACAGTCGGGCGCATAGGTTCGGGAGCGCTACTGCAGGCGGCATGTAATGGAGGCGTGTTGGATTCAAGCTGAGGCCGTGTAATGATGGGGCGTTATTATGATGTAGTTCCAATGATAGTTGTGCTTCAGAAAAACCTTCTTTCTGCTCGGGAACCAAGTAGCCAGGTCTTACTATATTATCATACTAATTTCGTTTCGTACTAAGGTCTAGATTTGCGACTTTGAGCTCCATCTACAGGTGGGAGGTGTGGACTCCTTTTGCAGATTGGAAGGATTGGATCTGAGTTCACCCAATCACTGGGGATGTATGTAATGTGACCGAAGGACAAACCCCGGCGATCCAAGATGGCGCCGTATTCAAATGAATGGTTTGTGCTCAGTGGCGCATGTGCCGGCATGGGGGCGAACATATTAGCAGAACTCACCTATATTTGGCCATCGTCTGGTCTTCCTGGTTCTGCGCAGTGGGTGATCTCCCATGATGCGTTGTGCCAAATACGCATGTGTCGCTCTCATGTACGCGCACAGAGGGGCTCGGCCGCTCTCTGACCAATCAGCGCTGCTGATCGGAGCGGGAGTTAGAGCAGAGTTTGTGGCACTAAAGTGTGGATTTAAAGAACCGAAGGATATAAGAAGAAAAAAAGTTCAGGATGACAAGCTGTTTAAGTTTACAATGAGTTCTATGGGGAAAATGTCTGGGTAGCCCTCGTGAATTTAGTCTGGTTTAGTCTGCAGTACCACCAGAATCCCCTAAGCACATGGGTCCCTCAGCTAGTAATACCCTATCCAGTTATTATAATAGATTCATGCCGAAGGAGTCGCTAGCATTTAGCCTAGCAACTTGGAAAACAAGACTTTTGCCGAACACCGTGGGGAGTAGAGCCATAACATCTTTGCCAACAATGCTTAAATTTCTTGATTTTTGGGAGTCGAACCAGAACGGAATGAAGAGCTTCCTTAACTATCGCATTTGCCCCCATTTACAAACTAGAACCAGCCAATTTGGTGCAAACTCTTGACGTCACCAACACCTACAACATCCGCCTCACCCGCTCGCTGAATGGTCAGAGGGGATTCAATCGAGGTAACTACAGCCACTAGGATCAGACCCAGACGCACATGTAGGGGAAGTAGAATTGACCGGAGTTTACGGATGGTTAAGGCCAGGCTAGTAATCATGTGCTTTCGCCGCAAAAAAATCATAAAAAACAAGGTAATAATTGCTTGAATTGAGTGGTTTTTGGTGGCAGGGAGTTCAGCTTCCTGATGGCCTTGTGAATGAAACTGTTTTTAAGTCGACTGGAACTGTTCCGTAAATTCTGCAGTCTCCTCCCTGAAGAGCCTGTGTGATGGGTGCGTAGGGTCCCTGGTGATTCTGACGGCTTTGCGGGTGAGACGGGTGGAGTACATGTCCTTAATGGTGGGGAGAGGGGCTCCACAGATCTTCTCTGCTGCTCTCACGATGCGCTGGAGGCCCCTTCGGCAGGAGGCAGTGCTGGTGCCGTGCCACCCAGTGATGGAGCTGGTCAGGATGCTCTCTACAGTCCCTCTGTAGAAGTTGCACACAACGGAGGCCGGGACTCCTGTAGCGCCTCTTGTGACGCCTCCACTGTGCTGCAGATGCGTGGGGCCCTCGGTGACCTGTCAGCGCTTCAGAAGATGATATCTCTGGATTTGTAGGTCTTAAATACTGCTCAAAAAGCCTTTAGCTCAGATGCTAACTGTGTGTTTACTTTTAAAAACACATTGTGTCCTAAGGTAAGACAGAGCAGCCGT